TAATCCACCCTTTCACATTTACTAATCCTTTTTACCTTGAGGGATAGTGCAACTGAAGCTATTTATCAAGTTTTAATTTCCTTCTGAGGAAAAGAACGAATGAGCTTTATTAAATTGGTTAAGCCTGAGTCTAATTGTGCTGCACTGTGTATTTATCCATTATTGTGTCAGAATAAAAAGTGCACCGAATCAGGTCTAAGAACAAATTATTGGCAAAATTGATCAATTTAGAAACATTAAAAACCTTTCTATTTGTAATGACTTAATCACTTTTGTTTTATTGCTATTCATGGTTAAAATAGTTATTTGCTGGAAATAATTTTGTTTGAAAAAAGAAAGCCTTGTAAACAAAAACATTATAATTTAACCTAAAAATTAAAACGCGCGAGTGTGTGCATTTTTGCCTTGCTCCCATTGCTTGTTGCAATAGACTTCGGCTCTCCTGCAACCTTGTATTGGATAAAGTGGTTAGAAAATGGATGAATAGCTAATTTAGTTATGACTGATTGTCCAGGTGTTAGCCAGGATAAAAGGTTAATAGTCCTAATTTTACAAAACGTGCCATGGTGACCAAATAGTCAGGTCTTCTGTTTACCATTAAGTGTGACAGCACTTCCTAAAGTGCAGTGTCCCCAGTCACCTTTGTAGAATGGACTGGGAAATTTGGTCCAAAGAAAAGTGTGCCTATTGGTCCACAAACAGCACTTACAGTATAGCAGAAACCTGATTTTCCTAGGAGGTCTCCATCCCAGACATGCTCCTCTGCCCCCTTAGATCATAAATAACAATGTTACAGTGACTGGAGCTTTCCTAGTAAGGTCACTAAACTGACCTTCAAGTGGAAAGGACATATGACAAAGCAAGCCTTTAGTCAGGATAAAATATGACACAATAATATGAGGAGGCAGACAAAGGCAGAGTAAGGAAGAGTAACCAAAACAAAGACTGAAAGGGAACCATCTGAGTCATAAGAGAAGGACTTATTTCTACAGACTACAGACTAAATTAGAATCTGTCCAGATATTCAGGGTAGTAAAATAGAACTGAACACTAAGCATTATTATCAAGGGACTGGTTGTGTTATTTATTTGTGGATATATTGATTTTCTAATTGTTGAGTCCTAAGGTTAAAAGACCTCTCTCCTTGTTTAGTGATACGCTATTTTGAATAGGAATATACAGTCGGTTCGCATTTGGTTACCATCTGTTACAAAAAGTATGATTAATAAAGGTTCATTATTGTTAAAGACGCACATTCCCTCCTTATTTTCATGTTATTTCTCTCTTATTTGCAAGGCATTCTATGTTTTCTATGTATATACAAAGCTGGACTCTTGATACTTCCAGAATTGTAAATATCTGTGTATAGCCATGAAACACTATGTGTGTCACTTATTGTTAAT